AGAACAGAACAGAACGGAACAGAACAGAACAGAACAGAACAGAACAGAGCAATGGAATGGAATGGAATGGAATGGAATGGAATGGAATGGAATGGATTACAATGAAACACAATGGAATGGAACGGAATGGAACACAACCAAACACTGCAGAGAGAGACTGCAGTGGGATAATAAATGTAATAAATACACAAATAAATAAAATAAATTATGCCCTGAGCTCCTTGAAGAAAAGACTCTGTGTGCCTATGCATCAAGTCACTATGAAAGGGGAGGCAAGGATAGCCAATGTGAAGTTTTTACCCAGAGGGTTAGCAACATGTCCTTTTCTTTCTGTATTAGCCTCCCTGTCTGGGTTCCTGTGGAGGTTTTTAGAAGGTTCCTCCTCCCCAACTGGGAAATTCACCGTCACCACTTGGAACAGGACCTGGAAAAGAAGAGGCTTTGCTGAGTTCTTAGCCAAAGACAATTAGGGGCAGACACAGGGGCTTCTGTCTGTGGGGGGAGTCAAAGTCTGAAAGATGGCAGTGATGGCGCTGAGACTGAAGCCCGCCTCTTTGGTACATGCGTGTGAAAGGGACAGTGCTTCCACCGTAGCACTGCGACTGCCATCTTGCAGATTCTGACTTCTCCTGTGGACACCCCTGGGCAGGAGGATTGTACTTTCAGACTTGCACGTTTCTGCCACTGTAGCTTGACAATAAAGTAGAATTAGCACATCTAGTTGTGATTCCTATCTGGTTTACCCCGCGAGGCCGACATCAATCTTGCAAGTCTGAAAGTACAATTCTCCCCCCTCAGCCCCCGTCTCCTTTACAGCCGGAGAAACTACGGAGGGTCCCTGGGCTCTGGGCTTTAAAAATGCTTTAACCCCTTTTGCCTAGGCAACAACACCTGTACATCTCCATCAAGATCATCTTCTGTCAGTCCTACAAGGCAGACCAGATCAAGAAACAGACTCCGTGGACTCCTAAAGATTACTTTTAGTTAGACTGGATGTAGTAACATAATCTTGCAAGCCTGATTGTGCTCCCCCTCCTCCCTTTTTTATACAAATAGCCCTCATTTAGTGACTGCCTTATCTAGTAACCGTTCAGTTATGATGGTGATGAAAAGGTAACTTTACACCCATTCCTCACATTTATGTCCTCCGCAGGTCTGTAAAGCCAAGGAAAGCTGAAGTCAGATTGTAAGCACAGTTGTGGTTTCACTTAGTGACCGCTTCACTTAACAACTGAGTTTCTGGTCCCAATTGTGGTCACTAAACAAGGACTATCTGCATTCATGTGAATTAGGGAGGGTGCCTGTCTAAAATGATTGCACCTACTTTCTACATGTCCCGGAATTAATCTACACTTTCCTTCCTGCCTCTTTGTCTCTCCCTCAAGGCCATCCTCTTTACTCTCTACACCTTCCTGACTCTGTACAGACCTCTCCCTGGTTTGCTGCAACAGAACCTTGGCTCTTACCGTCTGCGTCTGCCTTTTGTTTTCCTGCTGCTTCAGCAGGAAATCCTCCGCCAGGGCGACTGCTTGGGAGCAAGTTTGTGGGTGGCTCCTCTTCACCCAGCTCTGCATTTCAGGGGGCAGGATGGTCAGGAAGTGCTCCAGGATCAGCAGATCCAGGATTTGCTCTTTGGTGTGCTTCTCCGGCTTCAGCCACTGATGGCAGAGGTACCACAGTCGGCAAAAGGTCTCTCGGGGGCCCTCGGCTTCCTGGTAGCAGAACTGGCGGAAGCGTTGGCGCTGCAACTCCGCGCTCCCTGCCTCCTCCTTCAGAGTCTTTTCTCTTTCTTTTTGAAGGCTCCTGCTGTTTCCAACACCCTCCCGGCCACAGGCCTCTGGATTCTTCCCAGCAAGCTGGGACGACTGTTTGGTCCCGTGCTCTTTGGCTGCTGGGCAGTCCTCTCCCTCCTCAGCAGAAAAGAAGTCAGGAGTACCGTTGTGCTGCGCGGCCTCCGATGGCTCCACGTATCCCCACCCGGAATGCGAGGACTGCATGGTGTGCAGGAACGCCTGCCACTGAGCCTCCCAGCGCTCCGACAGCCCCTTCTCTGGCTCCTGCTTCACCTGTGGCGAGGGCTTTTTCAGATACTCCCCGATGGTCCCCACCTGAATGACTCGTGGAAGGCCCCCCACCCTGCTGGAAGCCTCCACCGGCTGAATTCCAGACGATGCTTGCTTCTCCGCTTTGATGGCTGTGGTCACCCTCTGCTCTGGAGACCGAGCGTCTGAATCTGGAGCAGACACCGCTTTCTGCTCGGTGGACATTTTCTTCCCTAGAACGGTGGAACTGGCTACTTCTCACCAAGAGGACAAGGGGTCTATGAGTTTGGGGTCTTTTGTGCCTTTTGATAGCTGGAATGAGGTGGGTTGCACAGAAACCAGAATCTTTTCTCACCTGTCAAGTGATGTTTCTGTTGGGAGGAGAAGAAGCAGGTCCGTGAGTTTGGATACCCAAAGTGCTGCCTTTTCTCTTGCAAGACCACCTGTGTGTCTTTTCAACATCTGGAAAACCTTTGGCCGTGTCTAGGAAGGAAAATGCTGCAGATGTGCTTTGCAATTCCTATTAACCTTCCAATGTATCTATCTCTTTCCCCAAGCAAAAGCCACAAGGAGGAGGTTATTTTTTTTTAATGGTGAGGATCCTATTTGCAGTTTTATTTTAATCCTAGGGTTGATTTTTTAAGTCTCTCCCTCTAATAGGAAATCCAGGTCCTGACCACCAGCAGAATCAGAGCCCAAACAGAACCATCATTGGAGTAAGCCACCAGCACACTCCAATGATAGGCAGGGAGGAACTTGAGATTCACAGAAGCTTAAAAGCATATTTAGAACAAAAACTCAGATGCGGGGGGGGGGGAATATCCCACTAAGAGAGTTCAGAAACCGCAGAACCCAGGAAAAAAACATTTATTAAAAAGCAATGATTGCTTTGCATCTGTGCAGTTTTCTTGGTAAAAATATAGAAGTGATTTGCGATTGCCTTCTTCCAGAATGTTTTTTCAACTTCCTTGTCTAGTCTACAGTCCTGGGATTTCCTTGTGGTCTCCCATCCAAATCCAAATTAGGGCTACCTTGCTTCTTTCTGGCTAGGTGTTGGCACCTGCTCAAGACCCTCTGCACATTTATGCAGTTTTCTTAGCAACAATAGTGAAGTGGTTTAATGCTGCCTTATGAGTTATTTACATCCCCGGGATTTCCTGGTGGTGTCTCATCCCAGATCTAACCAGACCCAAAACTGGTTAGCTTTTTAAACTGTTTATGAATACACACACATACACACAATATCAGGAAATAACATCTATCTGTAATATCTTTTATTTCCTGCTTCTGATATTATAAACTTCAGATGGTTGAATAAAAATCACTCATTAATTTAATTAAATAAGGAAAACGTTCCAAAAGAAGTTGAACTTACAAATTGCATCAGCAGACATTTTAAACCCAGATCTGCCCTAGTCTTTTTTTAAAAAGGTGCACAGATACGCGTGTCAGGATTTTGAAGGCAGAGGTGTGTAAGAACACTCCTGCCAAATCTCTATTTCTGCGGTCTACCAGGGTTGTTTCAATGAGGGGGTAAGCTGCAACTGAGTGGAACCTGATGCCCCTGAGATCTGTTGGACAACAACACCCATCATCCCCAGAACATGACCGCTGCTTTTAAGTTAAAGGGAAAGGATGTACCAGCCATTCCCTTAAGAGTTCTATTTTATGATGTTGGAAACGAAGCAAATCCAACGGGACTTTAACCTGTTTTAGCTTCGCCCAGATTGTACCAAGGATTCGGGGTGCCCTTAAAATGCAGATCCGTGAATTCTGCACCAAGTTCCTCAAACTGACGCGCTTTGCGTAAATCCTGTAAGCTGTAGAAGGAGCTACAGAAAATACGACAATATCTCCGTGATGGGCCGAGAATGACCGAACCCCACCCGCCGGAGCCAGGCACACCGCAGACACGCTCTGCAGCTTCAGAGATCTCCCTAAGCGTTGCACACACCCTCGTGAACCGACATTCCCCTCCATCAGGACTAGCGACTTGGCTTTCGTCGTTTAAAAGGGTTTCCCCAAGATGCTGTCTTCATGCACGTGGTGCCGAAGAACGAATCTGCACCAATCATACGCGTTGTAAAACACTTCGCACAACTGGGAGGGGATATCAATCAATCAATCAATCAATCAATCAATCTGCATTACTCAATTTGCATTAGAGTTCCACGCACACGCCCCTCCGCTCCGCACCCCCTGGACTTACAGGACCGCCTTCCCCGCGCCAGCCAAAGCAAGCTCACTTTGCTTTAACACTTTCCTAGTGGGCAGGACAGGAAGAGACACCCCCCCTTTTTTTGATTTATGATCCCCCGCTTTTTCCTCCTCTCTAGCCGCCGCATCTCTGTGACTCCATTCTCCTGGCACCGTGGCCTTTTAATGGTTAAACCGAGAGAGTCCTCCTTGCCTAGAGAGGAAGAAGAAGGGATTTGGGGGAAAGGGAAAAATGCGGGGAGGGGGCCGGGTCACCAAGAGTCCATGCATTTCTGCCCCTCTCCCGCCTTTTTTTATCGCGAGATGCACGAATGGCCTTTGGGAAGAGGGTGGGGCTGGTGGCGTTGGGCGCTCTTGGGCTAAAGGGGCATTTGGGGAGGGGGATGGTGGGAGAAAGTTAAGGGGAGCGAAGGATTGCAATTCGCAGACTGGGGAGAGGGTTGGAATAAAAAAAAAATCACCCCCCCCCCTTTATATACTTCATCCATCCTCTTCCCAGTGCTTCCAGCTCTCCTAATCCTGGACTTGCAACGCATGGAGGAGGTAGATTTTAGGCTAAGCAGCTGCCCTCCGGATGGCCCCATTTGCTATTTCCCCATTCCCCACCGGATGAATCCAGCCCATTTGAGGAGCGCCAGGTTGGGGGTGAGCCCTTGAAGGCCATTTAACTGAGGCATCCCTGGGGGATAGTGGCCCAGCTTGGCTTGAAGCCTCTTTAAAATGGAGGTCAGTCCCTTCATCTGCTGGGACATCCTTTCATTTCAGCCTAGAAGAGCTGATCCTGCTTTCTGGAGCAAACCTTTGTCCTGTTCTTGAAAGTGCTCTCAATTCCCAGTTTGGTCCAGTCCAAACATCCCCGGGATTTTCCAATGTTCCTCCTAAGTTTGGTTTTCCATATTCCCAACTGCCATTGGTCGCCCTCCTCCAAACCTCTTCCAGATTGATGGCCCCTTTTTCAAGTACAGCATCAGCGGTGAGTGATAGGGTGTGAGGGGTGTAGCTAGGACCAGGGGGACCCACCTTTAACTTCCTCAGCCTTGGAAGTTCACTGAGGAATTTTTGGTCCATCAATCTTTTTCAGTCCAGCCTACCTCACAGGGGTGGATCATGTGGGCACATGCCTTGAGCTTCTGGAGAAATGCTAGGATACAAACTGAAAGAAAAAAAAAATCAATAAACTGGACACAGCCTTTCTGAGGACTGTAGTGAAATAGCGGGTGTGTTACACCTTGCTGATTGAAATTTCCCCCAGTGACCTCTTGAGTTTCCTGCCGGTTATAAACCTAGTGATGCTGAACTAGCTTGCGTTTACCCTGCATTAAATTTTGCTCGCCCAAATATTTTATTTACTTTGCACTTTATTGCAACCCAATGGTTGTAGCAAAAAATGAAGACAGATGAACTTTTGGGATACAAATCTTTGAGGCTCAAACATTTCACATTCACAAAACTTTCAAATCATTCAACCAACATGGCCTTCATGCATAAATATGTATGACAGCTATAAATAATTTATTTATTTTAAACAATTATTTCCCTTTACTAGAGCTTCTGTATGGTTGATCTGCCATGTCATATCTTGCCACTTAATAGTTTTGTGAACTAAATCTGCCTAGAAAAAAAAATTATTTTTTAAATCCAAATTCACTGAGTTGCTTTGCTGAATGCTTTTGAACTCCAGTTTCATTTTATTTATAAATTAGTAGTAATAAGGCAACAGCCAGTTCGATGCAGTGGTTAATGGCACCAGGAGACCCTGAGTTCTAGTCCTGCCTTAGACACAGAGCCAGGTGGGTGTCCTTGGGCCAGTCCCTCCCTCTCAGCCCTAGGAGGAAGATGGCAACAGCAAACTCTTTCCCAAAATCTTGCCAAGGAAATAGCAGAGGCTTGTCCATATATTCACCAGGAATCATGATTTATTTGAAGACCCACACACACAAAAGTTACAAGGCAAGCTTTATAATTGACAAATCCATCATGGCATTGCCTATGAAATGGATTATCCACTGCTAATAGACCATTGCTCACTTCTGTATCATAATTATTAAGAATAGAAATTTGGATGATGTTCTTGTGCCCTGAGCAAGATCATTCTTACTTTGCCTTGTCATAAATAATTACCGGCAAAGGATAGTGTTGATCATTCAAGAGCAATGGGTATACCCCAACATCTGCTTCTTCTGATAAGAAATCTCTACAATAATCAGAAAGCCACAGTGAGAATGGAAATTGATAACACCAAATGGTTCACCACGGGAAAAGGAGTCAGAGAGGGCAGTAATGCAATGCGCTGTTGGGTCTATACAGAAAATTCATCATATGAACCACAGGTCTGGAAGAACTAAAGGAGTCAAAATAAATGGAAGGAATTTCATTAACCTGAGATATGAGATACAACATGGTTAAGAAACTAGAGAAGACCTGAGAATAATCATGCTGAACGTAAAGCAAAATGGCGGGGCTTTCCTTGAATATCAAGAAATTAGAGGATGTCACTGGAAAACTGGAAGAATTTAAGATAAACAGTGGGATGTCAGAAGTAATTAACAGCTACAATTTTCTAGGCTCCAGAATTGATGAAGATGGTGGCTGTGTAAAAGAGCTTCAGGAAAGAATAACAGTGGTCAAAAAGGCATGGAGACAAACTCGTGAAAGACCGACTCATTTCAATCAAAGTTAGAATGGTCCCCTCAACAGTCTTCCTCTTTATGATGTGTGAATGTGAGGGATAGACTCTGCCCATGAGCAAGAGGAAGAAGATTGACTCCTTGCTCTGGGAAATCAAGCCAAAGTGCTCTCTGGAAGCAAGCGTCCTGAAACAAAAGCCATCGTACTTTGGGCACCCCGTGAGGGCTGATGCATCTATGGAAAAGAAGATCATGCTGAGCAAGGTAGTCAGAAGGAGAAGAAGAGGCTGGCAAGAAGATATGGACAGACAGCAGTGGAAGCGTCAGCCCAACCAGGGAGACCAACAAGACAGACCAGCTAGGAAACCAACTCCAGATAGGCCAGGGCTACTTTTATTGTAACATCTATAGTAACAGAATCTTGCAAATCTAAATGTGCTTCCTCTCCCTTACTTTATATTCATGTGACCTGGGGAAGGGATGGTCAGATGTTTTCTGAAATTATTTGCTTGGCCCAGGCTCAAGCCCTTCTTATCTGACCATTGCCTTGATAGTAGCTCTTCCTCCTGTCCTTCAAAGCCATTCCCTCTGCCCTGTACAGGAAACCACAGAAATACAGCTGCAAGAATTGGGTAATGCAGAGTCACTTTCGTGAGATGGGTGGACATATAAATTGGATGGATGGATGGATGGAGCAAGAAATGGGTCAGCTTGGAGAGCTTTGATCGATGGAGTCATCAGGAATCCACTACGGCCAATTTTCTTTTCAACAGCCTTCTGAAGATCCCACAAGGGGATCACCCCAGATAACACAGAAGCTTGCAAGTAGTCGGCTCCTGAATCTTTACTATCTGTGAACATTTTAGGAGGAGAGTCTTGTTAGTCCAGGATAGCAAAAACTCTGAAAGAGCCTGGAAGCCCCTTTTCTGCTAAATCCACATTATTAAAAAGCTGAAGCGAAAGCCTGTTTGCAGAACTGGCTTGTCTGTGGTTAAGTGAAGCAAAGTTTACGGAATTGACCCAGTTGATGCAATAAATTGAACCGAAACACACTTCTAAGAAATTATTATACAACTGCTCCTACTGGTTGCCATTCCATTGTGGTTTTTAAGTAAAAAATTCAGCTACAGGGTGGAGGCATGAATGCTCTGTACATTGGTATTGCCAATAATGCTTACAGCAGTGTTTCTCAACCTTGGCAGCCTGAAGATGTGCGAACTTCACCCCCAAGAATTCCCCAGCCAGTGGCTGGGGAATTCTGGAAGTTGAAGTCCGCACATCTTCAGGTTGCCAAGATTGAGAAACACTGGCTTATGGAAATAAGTTTTATGTATTTATATGTATTTATGGTTTTAATGTTTTGTGTGAGTCGCCCAGAGTCTCCCACTGGGGGAAGATGGGTGGGGGAGAAATTAATTAATTAATTAATTAAATAAGTACATTCAGTACAAATTGCATTTTCTTTTTGGGGGTCAGGGGAAGTTTACAGTCCTTTCTGTAATGTTTTATTTATTTATTAATATGGTACAGGTGAAGACAGGCAACCAAATCTATCGTGAACTCTTATTTCCCACCTTAAATGCCCAGAAATATATGTACCCCAAGGTGCCTTCCGATTGAGTTGATCTCTCAATATATTTTCTTCCCAAGAAAAGTTTGAGATGTTATTTCTTTTTCTCAGCCCCTCAATAGTATCCACATGGCACCCTCAACTCCAACCACGCGTTGTGGTTGTGGCTGTGCCGCAGTGAGCACAGGAGTAGTGGCTCTAAGAGATAAATAGGACTAGGATATACAACAGCTTTTCCCAATTTGATCCCCCATCTGTTGGGTTACAGCTCCCAGAATTCTCACCCATGTTCCCTGGGATTTCTGGGAATTGTAGTCTTTAGGCATGAAAGCTGGCTGGATGACTTTGGACCAAATTTCTCTCTCAGCCCATCCCACCTCACAGGGTTGTTGTTGTGGGGAAATAGGAGGGGGAAGGAGTATTTGTTAGGTATTCACCATGAGTGTTTCCTTTAAGGAGTATATCATTATGATAGAACACATTTCAGGTGAGGAAGGATGGCTGTGATTGGATAGCTGAAGTATAACAGTAGGCTGTATCCCAAGCAAAGTTGTTGGGGGGTTGTTTGGAGAGGAAATACTGTTGCTGAAGTGTTACATTGGACTGAAGTGTATGACCTTGGATTGTTTAACTGACCATTGCCTATATTGTATATATTTGCTCACTGTAAATACAAGTCTGTTGGACTAAAAGCTGTGTTTGACTTGTTATTTACCACTGTGCATATCTACTGGTTTAGTAGATACCTTCTCTAAGCCTATCCCCTGATAGTATTAGCTATGTTCCCCGCCTTGAGCTATTTATAAAAATAATAAAGGCGGGGTAAAAAAAATCTAAAATCTAAAACGCCTGGAGGGCGCCAGGTTGCAGAAAGAAAGCTGCTGATGCTGTACAACTAAGCCGAGGACCTCCATATAATGGGCTTTGACTTATATACACAACTTTGGGCTCTGCGTTTCCTTTTACTAGAAAACGGCAACCTTTCTGGTAAATCGGCAGCTCTAATGTTAGGCTACTGAGGGCAAACACTGCCAGCGGGAGCGACCCGGGACGTGTGCACGCGAGCAACCCGGGGTCTGCCTTATCACCAGGCTCTTTAAGCGTTAAAACCAGCGATGATGAGTTCCTAGAGGAGAAAGGGGGAAAACACAGTGCCGGCCAGGAATTCGCTCTTTCCGGTCGGGCCCCTTCCGAACCTTGGAAAAGGCAGAGACCACGTGGGCTTGGAGGAGCGCGGCGGCTGCAGCGGGGCGGGGCGGGGGCGGTACCTTTGCCACGCGCCCAATGGCAGGGAAGGGGAGGCCGGCTCTGGAAAAAGACCGGCACCGCCCCCCCGCGATTCCCCTTTCGCAGGGCAGGTGGGGACGCTGCCCCCCCCCACCTTTGCCGGCCTGCCGCCCAGGGCAGTCTCTGTCGGCGAGTTCTGGGTAAGGGCATTTAATCGGATTTTGTTTTAATCGCTCCTTGAGCAAAGGAGGAGCGCTTCTCTTTGGAAAACGGCGCGATTGTGGGGCAGAGCATCGGGGCATCTGTGCAGCCTTCAGAAAGCAAACTTTGGTGTTCGCGTCTTCGGTGCGTGGGAATCAGTGGCCAGCGGGAAGGGTGGGCCACCAAGGGCTTTTCTCTGGGCGTGTAATGAATTGCCCTGCAACGAAGTTTGAGTTTACTCTCCTCTGTGAAAAATGTGGATCCTTCCGGTAGGGGTAATTTTCGTGATTTAAGTTGTAAATGACCCTACTGGCAGGGTCTCAAATGTGGGGGGCCTGTCTTGTATTTTTGTCTTTGATCGATCGATCGATCAGTTTTTAGATCGCCTGTCAACAAGGTCCTTGGGTGCTCATCCCTTTGAGAGGAAGAGATTTGAACTCAAGACTCCTTTCATCGTCTCAGCTGCTTTTCCTGCCATTTGCTGTGCTTTCAGTTCTTGGATAAAAATGAAATTTAAAATAAAAACAGTAAATGTAACACTATTACATTTACTGTTTTTTCATTTTGTTTTTACTTTGCTGGTATTTTAATATTGCAAGTTGTAATTGTTTTTTTATTTTTAAAGTTGTAATTTCTTGCCATTTTATATTATCCTATTTTTTTTGTTTGTTTTGCCTGCACGAACCACTTTGGGAGTATTCTGTTAAATGATGAAATCTGAATAATACCTTTATAGATAAATAAGCCAACATTAACTAACAAATGTCCTGCTTCTTCCTGCTTGATCTTAGACGATAATATTTAGAAGAGACCCAGTTCCAGGCCTATGACCCAAATTTGAGACTTCAGACAACCATATATATACCTACATTCTACTTGGACTCATGTAACACATTTAACCAGATCAGTTGTAATCCTAGTGTTTGCATCCACACGACATGCTTATCTCAGTTAGTTTTAATCCTGGTTATTTTTTGTGGCTTAGTGGGTTGGGCAAAACATGAGTTAATTCAGTGATTGGCTGTTGTGTGAATCCAGCTATAATAAACTAGGCATTTGATACGAAGGTTTGGCTAAACCACAGGTTTTCTGTGTGGGGTTAATCTTGTTTCATGGAAGAGCCTTCTGCTCTGTGAAACCCTCCTTAGCTGCCTGGGACCTAATGAACAGCTCTTAGTATGTATAAACATGTTCAATATATGTATACATGTATAAACATCTGTATATCATGCTTTCTCCCCTAACAGTCAATGGAAAGGCCCTGGGCCAGGACTCTTGGCCTTCGACTATCTTTGCTGGAATGGAAACCATTGCCATGCCAGGAGTTCAGGTATTAGAAAGACAACTGGGGACTCATGAGGACTAGCCTCTTTCTTTTGTATTGTTGAAGCAGGATCCAAAGGAGTTTTGTCCCAAGCAGCTTTAAACGATGTAGGGAGGATCTGTGGGACTCCAGCAACCTTCAGTCACAGCTGATAAAGCCAAAGGTCAAGGACGATGGGAAATGTGTTCCCACAAGATCAGGAAGACGGCAGGTTCCTTGCTTGGAAAGCCAGCTGGGGAATGGGCTTGTGGCCTCATCTCGTGTCAGACTAAAAGGGGGAAATCAGGAGGAGTCTGGTAGCACCTTTTCCAACTAATAAATTTTATTAAAAGGCAGAAGTGAAATTTGTTAGTAGGAAAAGGTGCTACCTTTTTAGCTAATGTAGATTAACCCGGCTTTCCTCCTACGATGTCTGCAATTAAAAGGACAGAAACTTCATTTATTTTATGATTAGATTTACAACCTGCCTTTATTTCTGTACATCTTCAGGCAGCGTACCTAATGTTCCTGCCTGTTTTCCCCACCACGACACCCTTGTGAGGTGGGTTGGGCCCAAACCCAGCCAGCTGGCTTTCATGCCTAAGAGACGATGAATCTCCCGGGATTGCCCTTAAGGGGGGCAGTGGTGGATCGTGGTCTGCTTAAGCAGGAGTCAGGACAGGAGCCACGGGCCCTTAGCCAAGGAGAGCCCCGGTGAAGATGTTCAGTGGCTCAACTCACTTCAGGAACCAAGTCGATCCATTTGAGGTTGACGCAATGGACTGCACTCTTGTGGCCAAAATGGGCCAGGTTCTTACCCACTGAATTAACCCATTTTCTGGGTTTATAGAAGACCCCGAATCCTAAACTAACAACATTTGTGCAACTCCTGAAATTGCAAGAAAGACCTAAGATTCAGCTACTGCTCTTGAAAGCATCTTCCTCTTAATATTTGCTACTCAAAAAAGGTGCTCCTTCTGATTTTGGGCACCATAGAGAGGGGAATTTTGTTTTGCAGGCTGTGTGAAGACGGTCTCCACGGATGGTCAACTTTTTTTCTTTCAGGGACTGGTGACGTTCGAGGAGGTGGCTGTGTATTTCACCGATGACGAATGGGCCTTTCTGGATCCGAGCCAAAGAGCTCTGTATAGGGAAGTCATGCTGGAGAATTACGAGCTGGTGACTGCCTTGGGTGAGCCCCTGTCTTTAAATTAGGCAGCCATTGTAGCTTTTACTGGTGGTACCCTTTCAAGGCCATTTACGGAGAAATCCAGTGGGGTGTCTATGTCACAGTTTCTCAACCTTGGCAGCTTGAAGATGTGTGGACTTCAACCCCCAGAATTCCCCAGCCAGCATTCAATTCTGGGAGTTGAAGTCCACACATCTTCAAGCTGCCAAGGTTGAGAATCACTGCTCTATTTCTCTGACCTCTTTCTGAAGTTTCCTAGTGTCTGAATCGGGGGAGTCAATTGAGAACCAGAGTAGAGGATAAGCCACCAAAATCTTCCTAATGCTTAACTTAGGATTCAGAAGCCAGCGTCTGCAACTGCCCCAAATCCTCAGCACACTCCTAATTGGCCACCACAGAACCCCCAAATGAAATGATCATTTTTTTAAAAAAAGGACTGTCGTATTGCAAGATTCAGGAGTCTTCTCATGAGATCTCAGAAGTGAGTTCAACGACATCTCATGAGATTTGGGCAGTTTTTCATTTTACGGTGTTTACAGGCTGAAAAGATGGCTGCTTCACGCTGTCATGGGTCAGAAAGAACTTGGGAGCATTTAAAATATTTTGTCACTTGCATTCTTCGCAAGCATCCACGGGCAGTCGGTCATTGGAGTTCCTCCATACGCTAGATGTAGTTGAGGTGAAATGGTGAGAGATGTACATTAAACTATTGTGTTGAGCTCCTGGCAAGAAGTATCTTATGACCGTGGATTTCTGTTCGCTTTGCTTTGCACCTTCTTGTCAACTTCCTCCCACTTTGCTTCTTGGAGTGCCCTTTCTAGAACAACCAGTTCGTTGAGGCACCGAGAGCGACGCTGGTCGCTTGTAAGCATCGTTTTACTCCGCTGGATTTCGTCCACGTTGCCCCATCTGCTTTTCCTTGTAGGGATTTTCCCAGATTTTAAAAGAATGGCCAGGTGAAAGGGGGGAGGGACAGTAATAGGGCATTTCTCTCTGGCAGCCTATTGGCGCTGTGTGGGATGGGCGGAGCCAGAAACGAGAGGAAAAGAGGATGGGCCTGTCAGTTGGCTGAGAAGAGACTACCTGTATAATTTATTTATTTTTATTTATCGTATTTATATAGCTGCCCGTGTCGCATAAAAGTGATTCTGGGTGGTGTAATGGTATGTGGGAAAGACCTTGGGAGATGGGGCAAAGAGATGCTGCCAAGGGAACAGTCAGATAAGAGACGGCATAGCCCACACCTGGATAGTGGGCGGGGCAAGAGGCTCAGAAGGGACCCTCCCTAGTTCCTTGGACTGTATAGGAGATGATGGGGGAGGGAGAATTGTACTTTCAGACTTGCAAGATTCTGTCAATGTAGCTTTACAATAAAGTAGAATTAGCTGATCTGATCGTGCTTCCTGTCTGGTCTACCTGGTAAGACCAGGTCTGGTCTACCTGCTGACACCGATCAAGGCAGTAGACCCTTAACTGAGCTGCGCGCAATTCATAAATATTCATATGGGTTGCTTTTCAGAAGGACACCTGCGTTTGCGACCAGATCTCATCTCCTGGTTGGAAGAAGATGTAGAAAAAGAGCTCTTTGTTCAAGGCTGTGAAGAGGAAAGATTAGCAGGTAGATTTTAGAGACACGGCACAATCGTGAACCTTAATTGGGGAATTGAAGGTGTTTCCCATTTTGGCCACCTTCAGTTGAGTAAATTATTCGTCCATAGCAGGGATTGACAACCGACAACCTACACATCCCTCTGCCTGCAGTCCCCCCCGCCCCCCCGGTTTAAGATCCCCATTTTGCCCCTTAAAAATGCCCCCTATCCCTTTCAAAATTGGGCCATTTTTTTCTGGCTAAGTGCAGTGCAATGGTTTCATTGTTTTCCCATTTCCGTTTCTCTTTGCCCAGAAACTCCAAACTTCAGTTTTATTTCTTTAGAATTCTCTGTGAGGATTTTAGAAATCAGAGCTTCAGATTTCTTTTTCCTCTTCAAGGCTGCAATGGGAGCAGAAAGCTGAAGAGTTCTTTCAGGATGTTCCAAAAATATCCAAGTATAAAACAGCCATTGAGAATGTCCTGATCTTGGGTTGAATAGGCCTCTCTTCCAATGCTTGGACTTGAGTTGGGACAAAATAGGCTTGGAATATTAAACCATATGTAACAATTGGAAATCGAAACAAGCCTTTATTGACTTGTGGTTTTTGTTCTAGGATATAAACCTAGGTAGCATGATAATCCATATTCAGTGCTACCTACCCCCAAACTACAGAAATATGAAGCAGGGTGATGTTTTTTTGTCTTGCACAGGAATTCAGTTTTTTTTTTTTAAATCATCCTCTTGGCCAAAATTTCTCTAAGTTGGGTAGCAGTCAGAACAGATTATTGCTCTGTGTCCTTTTGTGGTCCTTGGTTGAAATTATCATTGTATAACAGAACTCTGGACATATTTTAAATTTTATCCTGTTAGAACATGTAGCACTGAAATATTCCAGCTGAACATTCTGAATGGGACTGTTTTGCTCAGAGCTTGAAACAAAAATTTTATTTTGTTTTGTATATATCCCTCTTCTCCCTTTGTGTTGGAGTTCAGTTTCCCACCATCCAAAGCTACTTTGGTCCAATTTCCTTTTTCTGTTGTATTATCTGACACTGTTTCTGCTACTATAAGCAGAATTTTAAGGATTTCCTTCCTTCCCCTTTATTCTCAGATGATGGACCTGTGAGAAATATCAGTTGGGAGGATTTTCAGCTGGAAAGCTCAACCTCTGAAGAAGATAGTGATGAATCCCTTCCAAGAATGATCCAAGAAAACAGTTCCTTCCTAACTGAGAGTGGTGGGAGTGAGTACTGATGATTAATCCATTATAGGAAACAATGAGGAAGAGATGGGGGAATGGTTAAAAGTACATCAGCCTCCAGAACTTCATGCCACTTGATGCTGTGCTGTGAGGAGAAGATGTGCACAATTACAGGTAGTCCTCACTTAACGACCACAATAGGGCCCAGAAAATTGGTGGTTGAGTGAAGCGGTCATTAAGTGAGTCACCACATGATGACCTTTTATGATGGTTGTTAAGTAAATCACTGTGGTCATTAAGCAAATCACATGGTTGTTAAATGAATCATGGTCATACCAATTGACATTTTTGCTGGAATTCACTTAATGATCACGTGATTTGCTTAATGGCTGTAGTGATTTGCTTAACAACCATCATAAAAAGGTCACGAAATTGCAATCATGTGACCGTGGGGTGGTGGTGCAACAGTTTGCGATGGTTGTAAGTGTAAGTACAGGTTATAAAGCACTTTTTCCAAGGTTGTCATTACTTCAGACTGTGGTTAAATGAATGCTCATTAAGTGAGGACTACTTGTATAGATCTCCCTTCAGTTGACTCTGGTCAGTTAACTCACTGAGCTTAAAACAGAGAACACACATAACAAAACAAGGAGTGTACAATTTCATAGGAATTTATCTCAGTCTGAAAAAAATAGAGAAAACCATAGGAATTTTGATTTGGAACCAGTCTGTACTTCTTGGTAAGCTAAGTTGAAAGGAGTGTATAAACTTTCTGCAGTCAGTATAAATGCTTCTAAGAATGTATGTGCAGCTTGCATGGATACAGGGCGGGTGTTATGGGAATTGTAATCTGTAAACTAACAGGTTTTGAGGATAGCAGGAAGAGCGGCTTTGTTTAACAGGATGGCGAGCTCCCTTTTGGCTTGCATGCTAAACAAAGGGGGTGGAAATGTGGGAGCGCTTGCTTCATTTGCCTGGCATTCCCACATTTTTCCATCCTTTCCCTCATTCAGTTCTTGTTTTGCTGGGAAAGATTTCTGATTGAAATCTCGCAGGAAGATCCCTTGGGGTCAGCCAGGTTAGCAAATAGGCCCTGCGGGGATTCCTGAAATGCTACTTTATTGTTGCAGGGTATCGTAACAGAACCTTGAAAGCCCGCTGTGCCATCTTATACTAAACAGCATCAAGGAGGGGTTCTTTTGAGTTTCTTTCTTATACTGTTCCTGGATTGTGTGATCTCTTATCCATGTCCCTCCTTAATGACTCTCTCATACCTTCCTCGAAGTCAGCTTTAAATGCATTTACACCCAGGGAACTTCTGTGGTTAAGGGGGGATCAGAGCCTGGGTCTCCCCACTTCTAGTCCAGCATCTTCACTACAACCCCATGCTGGATTTTGGGCTGAGAGGCAGGGACTGGCCCAAAATCTGCCAGAATAAAGCTGCTGTGGCTTAGAGGGGCCAGAATCTGGATCTCCACCTTCCTAATCCATCGCTACCCTACCTTGGCTCTTAGGCTGAGAGGGAGGGACTGGCCCAGAGTCCTCCAGGGTGCTCCCCTGGTTGAGGAAGACCAGAATCTGGGTCTCCCTGCTGCAAGTCCTACCCCTTCACTCCTACCCCACATTGCCTCTCTGCACTTTCTATTCTAGCAATTGTTTCATATTTCTTTGGCAGCGAAATAAAATGCTGAAAATTGGATACCCAAAACAATAGTCGTATTTGCTCAACAACTACTACTATTCTTTAGCGAGCAGTGTGGGATACTCCCAAATTGGGAAAGTTTTGTACTCAGAGTGTTTTGAATTGGAAACCCATTGCTCTGATAAACCCAGAAGTGACCAGTGTTTGGAATGGGGCCATCTCAGGTTCAGAAGATTTCTGGAACGGTTGGAACATTCTGCATTTCTGGTATCTACAGCAAAGTTTATTTTTATAAGTGTGAGCTTATAGAATGTGTGTTGTGCCTATACTTTCATGTTACACGCCTACATTTTGCTGCGAGATTCAGTGAGGAAATTACCAGTTTTGGGGAGCACAATTTCTACCTGGTTTGCTCAAAACAGGTGCAAAATTAAGATTAAATGCTCCTATTTTGCATTTAGTCTCTCTGAGCACCACCCCTTGTAGAAAAAAAATATAGCCTGACATTTTCAACTTCACCGGACATAGTCTTTGTAGCTTTTTTTGTATAATTTTATTAAAACTTTTAAAGAAGAGAATAAAAACTAATATAAAGTAAAGAAGAAAAGAGAAAAAGTAAAAAAGCAAAGAGAAAGCAAAAAGTACAAGAAAAGAAAAAAGTTAAAAATAGAAAAGAAAGCAAAAAGTTACAAAACAGTGGCTTCCAATATTCTTCACAGCAGTTATAAGTACAATTATATTTTAACCTCTCTCTCTAAAATTACATCAAAATACTCTTCTTTCTATGATCTATCCTGTCTGATCATCAAAACCATACATCACAAGTTCATTTTTTTTCATTTTTATGGAAAAAGTCTGCAGTCTTTGTAGCTTCTGAAGGCTTAAAGAACAAGGAGAAATTCCCAGCTGAAAAATATTACCAACCCCTGCTTATAGGGAAACATAAAAGAAGGGGAAGTAAGCCTATTGCATGTTGACTGTTGGCTTTCCTTTTAACAGCAGACTCGTGCGCTTCCGAAATACCGAAGTCCCGTTCCTGCGACTTCCAGCCCCACGCCTTGCCCAAGACGGTGCCTCCATCATTTCTCCTCCTCCTGAAATCCTACATGCACGCACTGCTTCCAGTTCTTCAGTCGGTAATCAACCAATGTAACGCCTATCTGCTGAGCATCAGCCGGCAGCAAAGACGCAGAGACATGCTCGGCCGAGCTTTCCGAGAGTACCTTTTGAGCCTCCAAGAGGAGAGCTGTGCATCCCGGAGGAGAAGAGAAAGGGGGATTGCTGCTCTCCTTGCACTGTTGAGCGGGGAGACCATCTCGCGGCGCTGGTGGGTGTCGCCCGCCACCAGTCGCCATTGGTGGGAGAACTTTGTGCTGGAGAACCTGGAGGATGAAAAATGGATCGAGCATTTCCGGATGAGCAAGGGGACCCTCTTTGAGATAGCAGAGCTGCTCCGGCCCCAGCTGCATCGGCAGAGAACAATCATGCGGGAAGCCATCTCGGTCGAGAAGCGTGTGGCTATCGCGGTCTGGTGGCTTTCTAATCTGGAGTGCTACCGAGAGGTGGCTGTGCAGTTTGGTGTTGGGAGGTCCACTGTGGGAGAGATTGTCCTTGAGGTGTGCTTCGCCATCGAGCACCAGCTGGCCCACCGCACAATATATTTGGGGGATTATCAGCAGGTATGTGTTGGGGACATTTTATACCCCTCCAAAGAGAGGTGTGAAGCGAGAAGTCTTGCCATTCTGTTGATATTCCCCGCCCCCCCCCGCCATTGCTGCATTTGTAAAAGGTTTGGAGATGTGTATTGAGTATTCCTCATTGCTAACTATGGGTAGGCCTCATTTAGCAACTGTTTGCAGTTACGACAGTGATGAAAAAATAACTTGGCGACCAATTGTCACATTTACAACCTTTGCAGGTCTGTAAGGTAAAGGAAAGTTGAAGTAAGATCATAAGCACAGTTGTAGTTTCACTTAGCAACCGCTTTGCTTAACGACTGAGTTGCAGTTGCAGTCCCAATTGTGATTGCTAAATGAGGACTACCTGTATTCATTTATGTCTCTTAAGATACTGAGTTTGTGGTGGATCTGAAATGCTATATGCTTCCCATTCCAGATACTCCAATTCCTTGAAGTAGTAAAGCTGATAGACCCATTCTGGGGAAAACCAGGGATTTTCCAGACAATCCCCTTCTGGAAGTAGGGGATATGCCCCCCTCCCCATAACAGAACAGATAGAGCCAGATTGCATCAACAGAACGTTTTCCATGCCTATAAAAATGCTTAAAATTATTATTTTCAAATTAAGAATTGTGATTTTGTTCACATGCTGACCCTTTTTCTGTTAGTAGAGATGCATGTGAAGAAGGGCATGGCTGACATTTGCCTTGCAAGGGTGAAAAAATATTTGTGTCACTGGCAAGAGTTGCACATTTCCTGAAGCCCCTGGATTCCCCCCTCTTGTGTTTTCTAGTGCGCATGCACATGTTTTCTCTCAGCCTCACATTGTAGCTTGAGATTTTTAAATACATCCATATGTAACTTGGCAGGTGCCATTTTAACCAGGATGGGTGCCCCTTCCCACTTTGCTGGTGTCCTATGTAAAACTTTGTTGACCTGTCCACCTTCTAAATCTCATAATCCATGAGGCAGCCATGTTGCCATGATGGCAGGGAATACGATAGATCCATCTGGAAGAGATCAGCGTGCCTTTGGCCTGTCTTGGAACTGCAGGAAGAAAACGAGATGCCCTTTTCTATACTTCCTTTTGTCTCCCTTGCAGATCATGGATGGTTTTCAGAAGATGGGATTCCCACACTGCATTGGTGTCATGGACAGGACGCATTTGCCCGTAGTTTCTCCTACAGCTCAAGCTGAAGATCCTGCTAGCCGCAAGAAATTCTGCTCCATCTTGCTTCAAGGAACCACTGACTACCTAGGCCGATTTATTGATATCGAAGTTGCTTGGAGTGGGAACAACCGTGATTCCTGGATCTTTGGTAAGTCTGCCTTGTGTAAGGCTATGGACGAGGGTACTTTTGTCCCGGAAAACCCTACACTCAGCCTTGGAGGTGTGGAGATACCACCATTAATATTAACTACCGGCGCCGACCCTTTGCGGAAATGGCTCCTGAAACCCTACGAGGGCCATCTTGACCGGAGGAAGCGTGCCTACAACAAAACGTTCAGGTGTTGCCACAGTGTTGTCGAGCAAGCTTTCGGCAGGCTGAAAGCAAGATGGCAGTGCCTCACTGGTCGGCTCCCTGTCGCAGAGGAGAACGTGGTGGCGGTGGTCACGGCGTGTGTCGTGCTGCACAATATCTGTGAGATGAAGGGGCACGTGCTGCAGGAGGGTTTGGAAGTGCCCAGCCCTGTCCTGTGGCATGAACCCAGTGAACGGGACTGCCTTTCTGATGACGGGGATGCCAAAGGAGGCGAGAAAGTACGTGACGCGGTCGCCGCTTTCCTGGCTGGAGACTTTGGGTGCTGACTGGGTTTGTTTTAATAAACCAAATTTGGATTTCCACTTTTTCTTCAATAAAATGGACTTGGAGGATGTGAATGGGCTTAATTTGTATGCAGCTACGTAAGGGACTTTATCCAAAACCCTCAACTGGAGTTCTTTAGTGGAATCATTCCGGAATCATAATCGTAATTATAATAATAGATGTCTGAGGGGTTTGTAACAGACTGTTTCCCTTTGGTAGATTGATCAATATTGGCAGTGCATATCATGTGAGGAATCGGACCTAAATAGCTCCACATAAGCTGGTTATATTAAAAAAAAAAAAAAAAAGTAAGTTACGTATCACAACTCCAATATAATTGTATCAGATTTGGACTAATATTTTTTAAAATGTATCCTTAGCCTCGTGCTCTCTTTGGCCCAGGTGGTCTGAGGTAAACTCCATATTAAAAAATCTCTTTATGTGATTCAATTCAGTCATGAGCCATTCAGTTATTCATTACTGGAGATGCCTAGATTTTTGAAAGTATATCTGGGACTTGGGTCTCCTAAAGTCTTAGAGTCACAGTCATTTACCTTCCTCTGAGAATGGTTTAGTGTTCCTTTTGTCTCCCTCACGAAAACCACAAATATATTATGGTGTGAACCATGGTGTAGCTGAATCAAAACTCAGTCTGCGTGATGTCTTCATGGCAAAATGCTGCCCCCTCTCTACAGGTAGTCCTTGGATTATGATGGCAATTGGGACCGGAATTTCTGTCACTAAGCAATGTGGTCGTAAAGTGGAATGTCATGTGACCATGTCACTTAGCAACAGCAATTGCGGCAATCCTGGTTGCCATCATAACCCGAGGACCAGGTGGGTTGTTAAGTGAGGTCCTCCTGTGATTGCGACTTCCAGCTTTCCCATTGATTTTGCTTGTGGGAAGCTGGTAGGGAACATCAGAAATCATTGATCACATGACTGCGGCTCACCACAGCGTAATTGCAAGCTGGGCGCTTGGATCGCAATCACGCCACCGTGAGGATGCTGCAAGAGCTGGGGGAAAAAACCAAAAGTGAAAAAAAAAAATCAGATTGCGTTAAAATCAAATCCAATTCATTAAAAAGAAGTGAGGTCAGGCGGTTGAGAATGCAATTGAACCAAAAGTGCGGTGCGCTCCGGAGATTGCAAGGCAGTGCAGGTGCGGGCCCTGTGTGGCAGGCAGGAGGGCCTGTTTGTTGCTCAATGGCACTGAAGGGGGTACAAGGCAATGTTTGGTGGCAGGACACGGAGGAACAGGCTCCAGCGTTTGTTGCTGGCCTTCCTGAGCCCTCCATGGAAGAAATCAGCACTGCTATGAAAAGGGGGAAAAAAAGGTGCTTAGTGAGATCGAATCTCTTTTGTAGCCCAGGCAAAGGGCAGCCTTCTTTCTTCAGCTCCAGGAAATGCAGAATTGAGTCAGGGAATGCAAACCAGAGGTCTCTGCTCTGTGAGTGTGTGGGCTGCAGGAAGAGCTTTTGCACCAACTCTCAGCTGGTGTGTCACGGGAGAAAAACTCTATGAGTGCTCCGAGTGTGGGAAAACCTTTCACCACAGGGCACACCTCTTTGGGCATGAGAAGACCCCCACTGGAGAAAAGCCGTGTAAGTGTTCCCCATGTGGGAAATGGTTCTCGCCCTGTAAGAAGATCCACGTAGGAGGAAAACCACACAGCAGCTCAGATTGCAGGAAACGCTTCCATCAGAAAGGGTCCTGCGTTACAGAGAACTCACGGGAGAAAATTTAAATAAATGCTCCGGAGGTGGGAAAAGGTTCAATGATCGGGGTTACCTCATCCCCCACCGACGAACCCACCCGGGTGAAAAGCCAAACAAGCGTATGGATTGTGCAAAAAGTTTCAGTCAAACTTCTTAAAAGATAAAAAGATACCACGGGATAAAGACTTTCATGTGAGCAGAAGGTGGGATCTCACACTACCTTACCAGCCCTCTCTGACTCTTGGAAAATATCCAGAAAATCCATGCAGGAGTATAAGGATCCAAAGGAGAGAAGCAGCTACGCAACTGAAGAGCAGTGTTTTTCAATCTCAACGACTTTCAAACGTGTAGACTTCGACTCCCAGAATTCCCCAGCCACTGGCATACAATTTGGGTTCTGCAGTTTATATTTTCCCCTTCATGGATCACTGCCTTGTCGTGGCGAAGGGGCTTGCGTAACTCAGT